CTCTCTCTCTCTCTCTCTCCCTCGTCGACGCTGACGACGACGTTTCGCCAACGGACGACGACGAACGGACGCTACCCCGCACCACCGCGGGAAGCCGTAAGTGTCTTTCTCTCTCTATCTCGTCTCTCTTCTCCTGTGCTGTGTGCCGAAGATCGATTCCCCTCTCTCTTTCTCTCTCCCTTGTCTCCTATCCCCCTCTCTCTCTTTCTCTCTCTCTCTCTCTCTCTCTCCCTTTCGTTTTATTACGCGGGCTCGCGTAAAAGTCCTCTCGCTTCCACGCGCTCCGATCTCTCGCCTCGCCTCGCCTCCTCTTACTTTGTTTCTTCCTCCTCGCCGTACGTGTGTGTCACCTCCGCTCTCATTATGTTCGTTATCTTCTCCGCGCGCGAAGCGGAGCCAGCCCCTGCGAAACGCGACGCAGAAGGCCGTGCAGGCGGCCTGTCGTAGCGACGGCGGTGGTAGCGAGCGTGGCGAGAGCCGCGCGTACCGGGAGAGAGAGCTGCGTGGATCTGCGTGGGGCTGCGTAGATGCATGACAGGCCGCGGCGCGGGGGTGGCCTGACGGCTGACGGCTGACGCGGAGCATCCGCGCGGCCGGAGCGTACACTCGTTTCGCGGAAACGATCGCGAATTCGAAATCGAAGGGCGAAATCGAGAGCGCACGCCGATCGCACGCCAATCGCACGAGGGCCGAGAGACCCTGGTTTTCACTTCGCGATGTCCGGTCAGGAAATTTTCCTCCCCCGCGTCCCCACAACCTCCCCTTCGCCTCCTGCTACCTCGTTTTCCCCATTTTCTCCGTTTTCATCTCCTCCGATCGAATCGCATTAGGAGATTCGCGAGGAAGATTCGCGCGTCTACCTCTCGCCTGCAAGTCCCTTTGCCTCGCGCGAATTCGTTTTATTCCCCCCTCTTTTTTTTCTTCTTTTTCCTCTAACCGACCGAGCTCGCGCCTCAGGCGATTTCTGTAATCCGCGCGACGGAATTACGCGTGAGGCAGAAAAACGCTCGAATGTAACCGGGACGGGCACATGTGTGATAAATGTATCGCGCATTCTGCGCTCACAGAGAGAAAAACATATATAGTAGCGACGATTACACGAAGGTGACAACTGTTCAAGTTTCATACGTAGAATTAATGCACATAGTTGAGTAAACTAATATACATAGTTGGATAAACTGCTTCGCAGTTGCAGTTTATTCAACTATGTAAATTAATTCTGCAAAACTTGTATTATAGTTGCCGCCTTCACGCGGTTGCCATGTCATTGTGTGTCTTTCTCTCTGAGTGTATAAGCATATATTACGATATGTATAACGACGCGCGCGTGATACGGAAGATGTACCGCGCAGTGCGTGGAGAAAATGCACGGATTTTCGAAAAGGGTACCGATCGCGAGTTACAAATTAAAGGAAAACGAAAACAAGTGCTCCGAAAAGCACGGAGCAATTTTTTCCAAAAAGGAGAGCAACGTTCGAAGAGGAACGCGCGTGCGAGAACTGGCGCCTTCGGCATTACCACGATTATTCTTTAGGAAGGCTCGAACTCTCCTCCGCGTAACTTTTCACTCCATCCGTTTCCGCGCAAGTGTGTGTGTGTGTGTGTGTAAAGTTGTAAAAGTGCAATTTGGAAATCCCCTCGTTTCCCCGCGTGCTCGCGTAATCTGCCGCGCGGCGGCACAATGAACAAATGTGTCGATTCACGTGCCCACTCCTTTTAATTATGGACTTTTAATAACGCTCCTTTCTCCCCTTCGTCAAGTACGTAATAGGCGTAGGTGTGCGCGCCCCGTTTCTCATCGAGGGAAGAGGGGGGGAGGGGGGGAGAAAGAGAAACTTCGGTCCGTAACGTTCGCGCGGACCTTTTAATGCGCGCGTATCGGCTAACTTCACTTTTAATTTCGTTCCCTCATCCCCCTCTCTCGCCCTTCTCCCCGCCGTCGCGCGAGTACGCGGTCAAGTGTCTCTCTCCGCGCGCGCGCTCGCGCCGCGCGTCACGAGATCTTCGGCGTTCGGTATTTTCGCGAAACTTTTCGCGTTACACGGTATATGCGCCGGATAACGTGTCGATTAAAGCCCACGCCATTATCCACCCTTCCCCTTCGCCCGCTCGCCCGCCGCCCGCTCGCCGTAGTCTCCCCCTCCCTCCCTTCCTCCCTGCCTCCCCCCTTTTCTCCCCGCCACCGTTCCTCGTTGTGGAATAATTAACCGCTATGCAGCAGCGTATACCGCGAAACGGCGCGATCGATTTTAGGTCACGATCGTTCGCCCGTAATCCGATTAGCTTCTGCAACAGAATGATAAGTAACGACGACGGCGATAAACAATGACGCAAGAGCGGAGATTCAGGCGACGACGACGTTGGAAGCCGCCGCCGTCGTATAGTCGTCGCCGCCGCCGCCGCGCCACCCGCCGCCGTCGACGACGGCTCGTGTGCACCTGTCGCTGTAGAGACAACGAAAAAAAAAGGGGCGCGAGATTTTTTTTTTTTTCTTTCTTCTCGTTTCGCTCTCGCGAAACTCCGCGGAAGTAGAGCGGAAGTGACGACTTTTTCGTAAGCGACTGCGATTAATTACGCGCACCGACAGCCGCGCGCTTAATTCGAGAGCATATGCAGCACACCCAGCGAGGAGCGTTCGATACTCGCGATACTGTAATTGCATGGTAAAAATAATTACGGCAGCTCCGGCTTTTTTTGCGGTTGTCACGATGCTGGTAATGATAATTCAATTTTTTATTTCTACCGAGCAAATTAATTTTTTACCATTGTAAATTAATGGCAATAAGTAATTACATTTACTTCCCCTAAAAATTAATTTTTTATAATATAAATAATTGCATTTATATTATATTTATATGTAGTTGAATGTAAATTATATTTACAGTTAATAATCACATTTATAGTATTAATAATATAAAATTAATTGATAGAACTGTAAATGCAATTATTTACAGTTAATAATTACATTTATAGTTTTATCAAACAAAAATGTAGTCACCGCGATTAGCTACACGTACATTATAGTTAAATGACGTTAAAATTGGACAGGTAATTGGTCGCAAT